GTAAGTAAGTAAGTAAGTAAGTAAGTAAGTAAGTAAGTACGTAAGTAAGTAAGTAAGTAAGTAAGTAAGTAAGTAAGTAAGTAAGTATCGTAAGTAGTAAGTAAGTAGTAAGTAATAAGTAAGTAAGTAAGTAAGTAAGTAAGTAAGTAAGTAAGTAAGTAAGTTAAGTAAGTAAGTAAGTAAGTAAGTAGTAAGTAAGTAAGTAAGTAAGTAAGTAAGTAAGTAAGTAAGTAAGTAAGTAAGTAAGTAAGTAAGAAGTAAGTAAGTAAGTAAGTAAGTAAGTAAGTAAGTAAGTAAGGTAAGTAAGTAAGTAAGTAAGTAAGTAAGTAAGTAAGTAAGTAAGTAAGTAAGTAAGTAAGTAAGTACGTAAGTAAGTAAGTAAGTAAGTAAGTAAGTAAGTAAGTAAGTAAGTAAGTAAGTAAGTAAGTAAGTAAGTAAGTAAGTAAGTAAGTAAGTAAGTAAGTAAGTAAGTAAGTAAGTAAGTAAGTAAGTAAGTAAGTAAGTAAGTAAGTAAGTAAGTAAGTAAGTAAGTAAGTAAGTAAGTAAGTAAGTAAGTAAGTAAGACTTGTTTTACGTTGATTCACTGAGAAATTCAACCTGCTTGGTGAGTCTAATCTCTGATCCTAGTCTGAGGAAATATTATATATTTCATTCAAAGCTATATGATAGAAATTTATAGCCACGAAAAGGACATTATGTACATGTATACATGTTTATTCTGGTTAGCGTTTTTTTAGCTAAGTTTTTTCTACGGGTTGTGGTTGACGACCATGACCTCCTTTATCTGGGCCTAGGACCGACAGTCGTCTTAGAAGAGCTACATGTGGATTTTTATATATCATACATTTGTAAGCATGTTGACATTACGTATGTATATAGTGAATATTTCGCTATTTAAATTATCTAAGCTTATCATTCATAGAAGTGGTGAAATATTTGAAAGTCAATAACTGACACACACATACACACAAACGTTAATATTTCACAAATATTGATTTTCTTTAACGCTTATTATCACATTTATGGGTATTCCTTCTTCTTAAAAAGCAAACAAACAAATAACTATAAGTTAAGCAATGACCAATCTTCAATATTGTTATATATATAGGCGTCGTCATATGTTACTTTTAGCATAGAAAATAAACAAATCACCTGTGATTAGAAATTGACAGACGGTGATAGAACAAAATAAACAACCATCACAACAACAAAAACAATTGTAGAACTATTCAAAATTGTTGAACTTAATTTAAGAATAATAAGAACAATAACGGGGCGGATTTGAATGTATATAGCATAAAATTCTCTTTGAATCTTAATTACTTACGCTTGTTGCTCCCAATGGAGTATAGACCACCAACCAGCATTCTCCACCCCACTCTGTCCTAAACCTTCGTTTCTAGTTCGATCCAATTTTTGTTCATTCTTCTCATGTCTATCTGTCTACATTTCTCGGCGTAATGTATTCTTTGGTCTTCATCTCCTCCTTTGACCTTGAGGACCTCATATGAGGGCTTGCCTTGTGACACCGTTTGGTGCTTTCCTCAATATGTGTCCTATCCACTTCCAACGATTCTTCCTGATTTCTTCCTCCGTTGAGATCTGGTTTGTTCTCTCCCATAGTAGATTGTTACTGGTACACAACATGTACCGTATGATCTCCCTTGGCAGATTAGGTAACCCAAAAGTCATGAGAACACCGTGAGGATATACGAAAGGTTAAGTCCTCCTTGAACTTAATTTAATTTAGTTCTCTTTCATTTATTTTAATTAGGAATGAAAAACAGGATTAGGAAACAACCAAAATTCTGTAGTGGAAAGGTTTTAATAGTACTTTAGACCATTAATATATTCATCGTGAAACTTCAAAACCCATGAATTCAATATTATATTGGGTTGTGAGTAGGTGTTGCTGGGAAAGATGTCCAGTGCTTCTTGATTTCAATAGTTTTCTTTAAAATTTGTTTGAAGGGATTTTTTGGAAATTGATTTGACTGACAGATAATATTCATTTCGTGGCAAAATCTGTCATGGCAAAAAGCTTCCATCAATACTCTAGATTGTAAAATGATTGGAATTAAAGCGGTACCATTGGACCATTAACACGTTTCTCGAGTGGTTAAGTTCTGGATTCGATCTATGGTAGGTTCATGAGTGTGCACTGTTGAGGAGTCCTGTACTAGGACGAAACGGCTACCCATTACTCCCTAGCTTTCAATCACACCCCAAATGCGATCAGTTTGTAACCGTTACTGTGATCAAGCACTAACAACATACACTCACAACCACATTTATAAATTATAATTTTCTACTGTGAGCTAATAGAAACCGAGATACTAGACCAAATACTGATGATTGAATACACAAACGTACAATAGCTAAAATCAAATGTTTCAATTACAAACACTGGTAACACCTTTCATTTTGTCTCCTTTATAGCTAATCACTCATGATCAATAATCTCATGGTACTGAAAAGAAACACGTTTATAACTTCAGTAAAAATGTGACAGGATTTATTAGAAAACAAAATAAATTGAACTAAGTATCCTGAATGCATGCGAATAGGTTACCATAAAATACTTTTTTCTCAGCTGTACAGACAGTCAGTCAGCTACAACGAAGGAACAGGCGCATATGTGCATCGGTCCAAGTTGCCATACCTCATTAGCATAACAAGATGAACACCAAATTCATAGATGTAGTTAATTCAGTGGTCGTAATATGTAACAGAAAGATTGTGTATAAGGATCTAGTAAAGGGAGAAATAATTGGTTCGTAGAAATACATATATAAAGCAACTCTAATCTCACAGTTTAAGGGAAGACAGAGAGTATATACACCTACGTCATTGTAATCGATTCTGAACCATGTCACCCAGAGTCTCCAACCACTGCTCGTTATGATAGTCATGCGGATCCCAACCAACTAGTCTGGATCTACCAAAATGGCTCAGACTAGAAGTTATTGAAGTGAAGCACTGATGCCACGTTTTGGTTTGGCCACTCCTAACTTTCTTTCAACCATCCCCAACACTAGTTAACCGTACATATATTGGGATATCTTTAAGATGGTATTATAATAGAGAGTATATGGAGAAGTTTGTAACATTTGGAAATATTATTATAAACAATTATTAGACAATTTAATCGTTGCATTTTTTTTATTCTCTATATTATGTCTGTCAACATAAGTAGTATATACCACAGCATTACTAACTCATTTTTTCCCTGAATAATTTAAATTTGATATTGTTTTCTATTGTTTCTCTCTTTCTGTCTCTCTATCATGCGTGCTCACACTCTTGTTAACTTTCTCACAGTTGGCTGACTCATTTATATAGGAGTAGTATAGGATAGTAGTAGTATAGGGTATCGTTTGCAAAATTTAATGGTGGTGTGAGAAAACAAATAATGAGAACATTTTTTTGGTAATTAGTGGTTTTAACAATCTAATCGGAATATAAAGTAATTCTATTCATTGAGATTATTAAATGGTAGTAGTAGTAGTAGTAGTGGTAGTAGTAGTAGTAGTAGTAGTAGTAGTAGTAGTAGTAGTAGTAGTAGTAGTAGTAGTAGTAGTAGTAGTAGTAGTAGTAGTAGTAGTAGTAGTAGTAGTAGTAGTAGTAGTAGTAGTAGTAGTAGTAGTAGTAGTAGTAGTAGTAGTAGTAGTAGTAGTAGTAGTAGTAGTAGTAGTAGTAGTAGTAGTAGTAGTAGTAGTAGTAGTAGTAGTAGTAGTAGTAGTAGTAGTAGTAGTAGTAGTAGTAGTAGTAGTAGTAGTAGTAGTAGTAGTAGTAGTAGTAGTAGTAGTAGTAGTAGTAGTAGTAGTAGTAGTAGTAGTAGTAGTAGTAGTAGTAGTAGTAGTAGTAGTAGTAGTAGTAGTAGTAGTAGTAGTAGTAGTAGTAGTAGTAGTAGTAGTAGTAGTAGTAGTAGTAGTAGTAGTAGTAGTAGTAGTAGTAGTAGTAGTAGTAGTAGTAGTAGTAGTAGTAGTAGTAGTAGTAGTAGTAGTAGTAGTAGTAGTAGTAGTAGTAGTAGTAGTAGTAGTAGTAGTAGTAGTAGTAGTAGTAGTAGTAGTAGTAGTAGTAGTAGTAGTAGTAGTAGTAGTAGTAGTAGTAGTAGTAGTAGTAGTAGTAGTAGTAGTAGTAGTAGTAGTAGTAGTAGTAGTAGTAGTAGTAGTAGTAGTAGTAGTAGTAGTAGTAGTAGTAGTAGTAGTAGTAGTAGTAGTAGTAGTAGTAGTAGTAGTAGTAGTAGTAGTAGTAGTAGTAGTAGTAGTAGTAGTAGTAGTAGTAGTAGTAGTAGTAGTAGTAGTAGTAGTAGTAGTAGTAGTAGTAGTAGTAGTAGTAGTAGTAGTAGTAGTAGTAGTAGTAGTAGTAGTAGTAGTAGTAGTAGTAGTAGTAGTAGTAGTAGTAGTAGTAGTAGTAGTAGTAGTAGTAGTAGTAGTAGTAGTAGTAGTAGTAGTAGTAGTAGTAGTAGTAGTAGTAGTAGTAGTAGTAGTAGTAGTAGTAGTAGTAGTAGTAGTAGTAGTAGTAGTAGTAGTAGTAGTAGTAGTAGTAGTAGTAGTAGTAGTAGTAGTAGTAGTAGTAGTAGTAGTAGTAGTAGTAGTAGTAGTAGTAGTAGTAGTAGTAGTAGTAGTAGTAGTAGTAGTGATAGCAGGAGGAGGAGAAAAAAAGTAATTAATTTTCTTGTCATATTCATTTAATGTAATGGAGTGATATTCATTATCAGTCAGTAACAATGTAGAACTTCGTATGAACGTACATCAGTTCGAGTTGCCATACCACATTAGCACAGAGATGCAGTTGTCGATTCAAATCCCGTAGTGGTAGACGCAGTAAGAGTATGAGCAGTAATCAGAAACATTGGGGTTTGAAGATGTTATTTAAAGAGTATAATCCAGTGAGATAAATTTGGGAAGAGAAAAAAAGAGACAAGGAGGAATCAGGAGATTAAAATTTGGGAGAACACAAAGAGTGGATCCACCTGCGCCATTGCAAACGATTTTGAGCTATGTCATTCAGGGTCTCTAACCATCGGTTGCTATCATCTCGCGGTCTCCAACCAGGTAGTCTACACCTACTGACATGACTCAATCCACTTGTCAGTGACTTTATAGACTTGTGCCATGTGCCACTATGTGAACAGATTGCGTGCTTTGTTTTGTTTTTTCTCTGATATCCACTTTGTATTCATCTATTCACACTGTACACATGTACTCATTATTAATACTAAAAAAAATGTATTAATAGTGTACAATGGGAATTTATATTCAGTTATTCAAATAGATATGACTCTTCGTTTATTCCTCTGTTGTCTGTTCCCTATTTTTAGTGCGTGCGTGCGTGTGTGCGTGAGTGTGTGTGTGTTTACATTTTCTGTAAAAATTCAAAATACAAATACACACATATTCACACAACAACAACAAGAACAACAACAACAATGTTGGCTAGTTCATTCAACAGTACTTGTCAATCATTTTTGTATATTTGCATCTTTCAGAAACAAAAATTGAGGTAAAAAAAGAAATAACGGAACGAAAGAATTTGTTTTGTTTAAGATTAAAAGTAACGATAATTTGAGTGTATACAAAAATAAAATAGATTTTCAGTTAGATGATGGATAAAGAATAGAAACAAAACTATATTGATATTGATAAATTAGAGTGAAGGTTTTAGGATGAATTTTGTAACTGTGTGATAGGTTATAGTTTTTTTCCATTTGTGACAACACCCTGGTACGGTCGAGATTGGGGAGAGTCAGCTCTCTCTCTCTCTCTCTCTCTCGAAATGCTCTCACATGACCACGTGCATACAACCATTACTAGGGGTGTGCTAATCACTGACTTCTCGTGGCATTACTGTTGTTTACGATATTGAGAAGACGAAAAGTGAATGTCCGACGCTTTAACCGGGTTGGTAGTTACGGACAGTTCACTTAGGGGAGTTGGACAACCCTCATTCCAAACCAATGGTGCACATGGGCTCCAGTATCCTGAAATGACAAATGACGTATGAACCAATCGTTGGTCACCGGCTGTTATGGGTCTGCATCTCCTTGCGTTGCTTCACTACCTTGTGGATTAGACCTTTAGGTCAAATGCTAAGATTTAGCCCCTTTAATTAAACAATCTATTTCGGTTTGGACACTCGAGCAGTATCCTAGCCCTCACATAAATCGAATGATTTTATGTGGCGCTCATCTATTTGGTGTCTCCTTGTACTTTGAGGTTCAATACAGGGCTAAGGTAATTGTTAATTACACAAGTAATTGAGCTTATTCTAATACGAATGTGTTCCAGGGTGTATCTGATAGAATAATGATTGGCACATAACAGTACTTCAACGTTAATAATCGATACGCTGATATAAGCTAAGACTTTCATGATGGCACTGTATTTCCAACAGAAGTCGAAAGTTCAAATCCAGCAATTCTGTTCATATATCAATGACATTAGAGTCTACAATATCAGAAAATTGAAAATGATGACAACCATTCAGATAATAGCAACGATTATTATGGAACTATGGAAATAGGAAATGCTATCGAGGTTATTTTATCAGAACTGACGTGTAATAACAAAATATTAAATAGCATGAGCTCTCTTTAGTAGGCTAGAGATTAAGTTCATATGAATACATGTTTGTCTTAATAAATAGAAATTTACAAGTATTACTGTTCAGATCATATTCTCAAGATGGTGTAGAAGATTTATAGCTCAGTTGGACATCATCAGCACAAACTTCTACCTTAAATTTGTGCTGATTCGGTCGTTTAGAAGAACGCTGAAAGCTCCACGACCAAATCATCCAGCTCAGAGAACAAAACTTCATCAAGATCATATTCTCACCATCAACAGGTCTATTGTTGATACTATGTGTTTTGATAGAGAATTTCAGTAATTTATGATCCTATTTAAAAAAAGGAATTCCAGATTTTAGCATTTCGATCTTGAAAAGACCTTATATCATTTTCATCTTTAACTACTGAACTCGTTTTATCATATCCGTTCAATATATGAAACAAGAGTTCTTTGCTTAATTCTCATATTCTGAATGCTCTCAGAAACATTAAGTAAAACATTCTCAATATATAGCACTGGACAATTGTTTTTCTTTCTCATGGGACTCAGAACTGAACAATCATGACTCAGCATATGGGACTCGAATCTATAGCCATCAGTTTCATGAGCTGACGCGTAACCAATAGGTCACTGAGCTGGGATCAAACGGACAACAACGTCATATGATATATTTTTTTCTAATGAGGTTTTTATGAAAGTTGAAAATGGAAAAAGAATTCAGAAGAGTTAAAACTTTAATATTCGGAGGTCAGTTTTAATTATTGTGCATAATGGTGTACATTATTAGTGTATCTGACACCGGGAGGGACATAGTCCTTTTTAGTTTCCTCCGTTTCTTTTCATCTTGTCAAATTGACTGAAATTAACATGAATCGATAATAAGGCGTACTTATCTTCTTCGAATCTTTTTAAGAATAAAATTAATTTCAGTTGATATCATGAATGGATGAATGTTAGACGATCACTGAAAACCTGGAAGCACTGGATGGTCGTTTCGTCTTAGTGAGAAGCTGTGGACAGTGGAGTTCAACCAGGTCTGTTACAGAGGTAGTTACTCACTAAAGATAATGGTGAACGGTCGCGCAATTTCGTGGATTGGTTAAAGTTAGACATTAACACCGTTGGGTTCCAACTCAGTGGTCTAGAGGTTAAGCGTTCACTCGCAAGATCGAAGGTCCTGTGTTCGAGTCTGGCGCGCGGGATTGTGGATGGTCCCTGTCGAGGGGTCCCACACTAGGACGAAACGACCGTCCAGTGCTTCTAGATTTCCAATGGTAGTTTAATATTGATTGGTTCTTGATTTCAATCAATATAGGCGTGTTAGTGTTTTTTTATTTGGAAATTGTTGACATGAATTATTCACATCATAATTAACTGTGATACTGATAATAAGACTGACTAATTGAGATAGAAAACAATATGACAACATGTCATTCAAATGATGTATACATGTTTTTCAATCAATCTAATTGTATGTATGTATCTATGTATGTTTTACCTATGGTTTACTCTACATGATAAGCCATATAAGGGGCTGAGAGTGTTAAAAACAAACACTAAATCCCTCTCTTCAACATGTCAACATAGTGTTCATTTGTTCGTGATGTATTAGTGCATTAACAGACAAATCTATAAAGTGAATCGAATCCTAAAGACATATTGTGACATCTACCTAGAAAACGAATTGATGAGTCAACAGAGAAGAACATATTGTTTGCCATAGAATATAAATTACAAAAAAGAAAACTGTTAGAATGTCAAGTGAATATCGTTTGTCACAGCAGCAACAATACGTACTGATAAGTTGAACACAAACAGTTAATGAATTTCATATCCGGTTATCCAGATAGTGAATATTAGTTTCGTTTTCGTCTTTTTTTTCGCTTCACAAATAGATACCAACTAGAAGGTATAGAAAATGAAAGGATATTAAACAGTTATTTCATCCCAGTATGAGACTCTTTGGAAGTGTTCACTCACTCGTACACAAGGATCGAATGATATCAGAAATAAAGCACTTAAATGTCAATGTCATCAAACTTTTGTCTCATTTAATAACGACTTGATTTAAGTAGGAACGAATAAATTGCAACTCATTAAGTGATTCAAATAGTAATGCATTTGTTGGAGTTATATTATAATGAAATGGAGTTTCTGCCATCTTTTTGATTTTAAATGTTAGTTTACTCAATGAATGAATTTCAGTCAAATTGTGATGTATGCTACTCATCTCGACAAATATAAGTAGTATGTAACACCAATCGAAGATAACAGCAGAAAGTTGGGAAGATCGAATAGAAGTGAATGGGAACAGAGATTGATTGGTATGTAAATGAAAGAACAATAAAGTCTGAGACAATTGATAAACATTTTGCAAATGAAGTATTAAACGTAATTTTGTGATTTTGTATTCAGGTGCATTTGGTTTACTCCACTTGTGTCCTCGTTCACTACAAAATCACTATGCTATTGGTATATTCAGATAAGAATTTGTAATGTGCAAGTAGTATTCCTACGATATTTGTTTAAGATGAGAATTCTATGGAAATTTGTTTAATTCAGTTATAATGTATTTTATGAAATAAACCCATGGTATCATTGAAAAGAATTGAGGACAATCTAGCGAAGAAAACCTTTTTTTGGTGATATCATTTACTCATACTTTACAGTCATAATTCACTTGGTATTGTTTTACTTGAATATTCCCATTGATGTTTAGGACTGCAATTGATCAGTCTATTATTGGCATATGTGCGTACTGCGCCGATATTGACTCAGTAGCTAAGTTGATAATGCGATGGCGTTTGAAGCGAACGGCACTGGGTTCGAGCCCCAGAGTGAAGATCAACTCTGAGATGCAGGTACATCCAGTTGATGAGTTCCAAATAGGATGAAACGCGGGTCCTGGATTCCACGCTAGCCACTATCCATCTTTACAAACATATATGTAGTTAATTAACTAATGAAATATTCTATTAAAAAATAAAAGGACGATTACATAATTCCAAGTGTCAAAAAGAAGGCTGCATAACAGTCGATAGATAGTAAGATGAAATCATGTGTTTGAAAGATAATTGTCCATTTGACGAGAATGAGAAAGATGA